TTGATAGTTACTTGAAAAAAAAAAAAAAGTGATGTCTCCACTAGCACTGGACCCTTCAATTCTAATAAAGTGTATTGGCAAGGCAGAGTGGAAAAAAATAATCAATCATATTCAGCTGTTGCAAAACTTGGGATCCTTTAGCATGACAGGAAAGTTACAATCAGAATAAAAGCAAAGTCATTCAGCATGTCTCTCTTACCTTTCTGTTCCTAAAGACAAATAGAGCTGACTAATGGTTTCCAAAATTTGTCCCTCCAGAACTTTGTTGGACATCTTTCTAGCTAAAGATAGTTGATATTCATTGTAGATGACACACTGAGCCTCATTGGGAGCAACAGTACTGTAGAACTGACACAGCAGTTTAATTGCTTGTAGTTGACCTAGGAGAATAGATTGGAAATACTAACATGAATCTCTGTTTTCAAAAGAAAGTTAAATTAGGTTTTTTTAAATTAAAATAATTCATTCTTACTGTTGTACAAATTCAGCACAGTCAATGAATAACAACATAAAAGTCATAACAAGGCAATTCCACTGCCAGTTTCTTCACCCCCAAAATTATCAAAGAAGTTACTTCAAACGTGATCTTTAAAGTAAAGTCATAAAACAGTCCCCTTACCTGTATAAGCTGCTTTAATGATGGTAGCAAGAATAAATAAATAAAGCATGGGTCTTCTAAATACAACTACTTTATGCAAAAGTAATCCAGATTACCAATTGTTTTCATACCTTTAAACTCAGGTCTGGTGCTCTTTGCACTACCAATGATATCATAACTATTGTAAATATTATTGAACATAGAAATCTCTAGACTTTTTAGTAATTAAGTTATTTAGGTTTTTTTAACATTTCATTTTCCTCTATCATTTCTGACAAACCTAAGTAACACCAGAAGAGCAAGCCAACAGGTACTTATTTCTCCACCATTATAGGACAGAGCAAAGATTTCAATCACTTCAATAACTGTCACATCACTGGACATAAAATGTTGTTTAAGGAACAACTATGACATACCTATATAACAAACATTCCCAGAGTATGTTTTGTAATTTAGAGAAAAAAAAAAAAATTACTCACTTTCCAGATGACTTGTCTCCATTGCAACTAAAAAAGCCCATTCATAATAAAACTTTGCTTTTTCTCTTTGAGTTCCATCAACATAGTAACATCCCAACTGAAGGAGGACTTGGATAAAATCTTGGCCACAGTCCTCACTTGGAAGTTTAGAGAATAGCTTCACTGCCCTGATATAATAATGTTCTGCCAGCTTGCTGGCTGCTGTATGCAGGCAGAGTGCCCCAAAATTAGCCAGGGCTATAGCTTGGTTACGAATCATGTTGGTCTCTTCTGAAAGATGCAGTGCTTTGTAGTAGTTCTCAGCAGCTTCTTTTGTATTGTTTGTTCTTTTCAGAGCAATAGCAAGCATATTATAAGCAGTTCCTAGTTGTTGAGGATTGCTCCAGGAAGAGTCTACAACAGCACTTAAAATGGCTAAAGCCACATCATGCTGCTTGTAAAGAATGTATAACCAAGCAAGCGAAACCAAGTAGTTAATAGTTTCCTCTGGCTTAGCAGAAACATCAGTCTCCAGTGCCTTCATCATGTAAACAATGGCTTTTCCATACCGTTTGTGGTGGCTGTACAGTTTTGCTAAGCTAAGATAGATAGTGCTACATAGTCCTTGCTGCTCATTAGTAAATACAGAGGAAAGTGCTTGTATGAGGTAAGGTGCAGTTTGTGATGGGAGTATTTGTCCAAGTTTTCTCAAGCCGTAGAGCTTGGGAGCATTTTTGATGACTAAATCAATCCTTTTCAAGGAATCAGTTAAAGTATTTGAACTCTGCGAAGAGGCAACCTTTATGCAACTTAACACAATGTGTGGCAAGCACTTTTCATTGTAGGATTCTGCTAGTTTGAAATAACAGTTCTTTGATAAGTTGTTTTGTAAACCCAAGTCATTAAGCAACAGTTGAAGCCTTTCCAGAAATGGCAGTGCCTCTTCATGCTGTTTGCGGGCAATGTAATGTTTTGCCAGAAGAAAGCATGCTCTTGCCTCTGCATGTTTGTTCTGGCTGAAAATTGTCCTCTTCAGAGCATACTTTAGAATATCTGACTCCAGCTCAGCACTGCAAATGTAGTTGGGAATTCCCATGAGAAGAGATGTAGCCTTGTCAATAACATGAGCACATTTTTCTTTGTTCTTCTGCGTCAAGTAGATGACTGTTAGGTTTGTATAAAGAGCAATTACAAAGTACAAATCACTAAACCCTCCAGCTACCGCTCCCAACGCTTCCTCAAAATACACCCGAGCTTGGGAAAACTTCAGCTTTTTAACACTGAGCCTGCCTAAGAGAAAACACAGCCTTGCTAGCGCCCAGGACATGCCTGCTTTCTTTGCTGCTTCCCTTGCTAATCTAAAAAAGTTAACCAGTTCTTCTTCTTCTGAAAATCCATAAAACATGCTATTGATAAATGGGTAAGAAAAATGATACAGGTTTTTGAAGTTTCTGTCATACTCTTTCCTATTTAAGAAGAGCATCAATGACTCAAAGATATCAGGTGCTTGAACATCATCTTGACATATGTGGAAGCAAGGCCCTTCAGGTGGAGGAAAGTTGTCCATATTTGGAGAGCTAGCAGAATCCTTGCCATCAGTAGTTGGCTCTTCTGCCTGGGTTGCCTCCAAATTCTTGAAGTTCTTCAGGAATTCTTCTATCTTGCCATTCTTGCTAGTGGATCCTGTGCTGGAATGTGAACTTGGAATTTCTGAAATTCAAAAATAAATTACAGATCACAACTTCATGTGTGCATGCACACGAAGATCTACTGATGTTTTTGTTAGTCTATCAAAGAAGATATTGTTAGGCCAGGCCCTGACCCAACACTAACCCAACTGAATCATAGAATGATTTGAATTGGAAGGGACCTTAAAGATCAGCTAGTTCCAACCCCCCTGCCATGGGCAGGGACACCTTCCACTAGACCAGGTTGCTCACAGCCTCATCCAGCCAGGCCTTGACCACTTCCAGGGATGGGACATCCACAACTTCTCTGGGCAACCTGTTCCAGTGTCTCACCACCCTCATAGTGAAGAGCTTCTTCCTAATATCTAACCTAAATCTACCCTCTTGCAGTTTAAAACCATTACCTCTCATCCTATTACTACACTCCTGATAGAGTTTAATGTTAATTCAAACTGGTTTGTGTCTGAGTGTATGCTCAAAAAGTATAAACTGAGTGAATATTCTCTGTTCTCTCTGTGTGTATATGAGTGAGTGAGATCTGCCAATGAATTACAATCCAGACTAGCTGGTAAGTAGGAGAAGACCAGAATCTGGAAAGACCCAGCATCTGAACAGGAGGCTGGAGAAAGGGCCCAAGGTCAGGGCATGGCTGGACTTCAGGTCCAAGGGAACTAACTGTGAGTTTGAGCACACAAGTTGAGTAAGGGTATGCCTATGTCTTGATGGAAAACTAAGGCAGGGAGGGTACGTAAGACTGAGCTATTTGGGTTGTTGAAGTCTCATGTGAGTGCTGTGAGGGTGCCCGCAAAGGTCCTGTTCTCTTGTCCACGTTGTATGTGTGTGGCCAGCCATATGTGTATAATGTGTAATAAGATTTCTTCTTTCAATCAAATACTAACCCTGATTCTCTTCTGGCACAGATTAACTTTCTCAGCATTACCAAGTTTGTGGTGGTCATTGATCTAAAATCATCTAGTACTGACATTGTAGAGTATCTTACAAATATAATGAAAACATGCCACCATTTCTTTAGTCCTCCCACTGTTATCCAGCCAAAGTGATAGGGCAGGGACTAGGGATGCAGTTTGCAGTCATAGCATAAAGCTTACAGCTGCATATCAACAGGAGCTTATTGAAGCTGCAGATTTAGAGCTGTTTCCTTAGAGTCTCATTTCTGAAACTGTTCAGCAGAATTAGAAATATAAAAAATGGTATTTAGAAAAATGTAGTACAAATACAAGTAATGATAGTGACAGCTTAGCAACTAAATGCCAAAGGGAAACAATCCTACATCCTCATCAAAATATCTCCTTTGGGAAATATACTTATGTGATGAAGTTTTCTAACAGATGGAAAATCTGCTGGAATTCAAAGTCAGCACTTACCAGGTGCCCCATAAACAGTATTTTGCCCTGTTAAAC